GGTGCCCCGCGATCCGGATGCATTTCCCCTCCGGGCACCCGGCCCCATCGCATTTCCTCTCCTGCATCCCAGTCCAGGTGCATTTCCCCTTGGTGCACCCCGCCCTAATTGCATTTCTCCCTCCAGCACCTCGTTCTGGGTGCATTTCCACTCCTGCACCCCAATCTGGGTGTGTTTCCCTTCCATGCACCGCGATCCACGTGCATTTCCCCGCCCTGCACCCCAGTCTGGGTGCATTTCCCCTTCATGCACCCCAACCCCATTGCATTTCCCCATCCATGCACCCCAATCCGGCTGCATTGCTTTTCAGGGTGCCTCAGTCCAAGTGCCTTTCCCCTCCATGCACCTCGGTCGGAGTGCATCTCACCCCTATCCCCTCAGTGGTCCAGCTGCATTTTTGCCTCCCCAGTCCCGGTGCCTTTCCCCCTCCACGTCTCTGTGCTCCTGGGTGCTCGTGTGTCTCCCCTCGCAGGACCCCAACCTGAACCTGGCATTTTGAGTCCTCGGCTGTGTTGCCCAGGCGGGGCATTGCTGAAGGGTGTGTTCCCTTCAGTGTGGTGCAGTTCAGGAGCAGTAGTTGGGTATTTTCCCTTTTTTCAGGAATTTTCCCATTTGTTTTCTCTGCCTCTCACCTCTCTCCATGCACACCCAGGTTTGCGCATCCATGAATACTTGTATTTTCAAGTGCTGAGCCCTGGAGACATCCGCTACATCTTCACCGCCACTCCAGCCAAGGATTTTGGTGGCGTGTTTGTAAGTATTAAGAACTGAATTGGTCTCGGGTTCCCCCATCCCAATATTTCTCCATTGCGGGGCCCAGTGATTTGAAGCCTTTTGTAAAAATGGAGCTAATTGGTCTTCCCTGAGCCTTCCCTTAGGAAGCAGGCACATGCTGGTCCCTGCCTTCAGCCTCAGCAGGCTTTCGGAGGGGCAGTTTGGCCCCACACATGTTCAAGGGAGCACATGTTTCCTTCTCCAAGAACTGAGACAGGCACAGCCGTGTCCCAGGAGGGCTGGTTGGGCTCCCAGAGGAATGGCAGAGATAAACCCTCTGGTCTACAGATGTGAGACCTTTCTCTGAATAAACTTGGGGTCAAGATGGGGCTGCAGGAGCAGATCTGCTAGGAAATATGTGGAAAAGGGGCAACCAGCATCCCTGCACCTGGGAACCCTAAATCTCCCCAAAAACACACCCTGCAGGGGGATGAGTAGGGCAGAGGACAGTGGGGATGGCCTCGATCCTGCCTCACTCACCCCTGCTTGTTTTCTTCTCGGAGAACACAAGGTACGACCAGATCCACCTGGTCCCAGCGGATCCTCCTGAAGCCTGCGGAGAGCTGAATAATGGTGTCTTCATCCAGGACCAGATCGCCTTGGTGGAGAGGGGGTATGTCTAGCATCACGGGAGCTGTTGCGGGCCCTGGGGCAGGAGGGGTGCTGCCCACACTGCAGAGGGTGACAGTGCCATGGCCTCTTTTTATCATCACCTCCAGCTTCTTCCCATGACTTATCCCACATGGGTCTACAAGGAAAATGTGAGGGTGCTCCTACCCCAGTGTGTTTCATGTTGTGTTTCTTAGAAAACAGCCTGCGCTAAGTTGGAAAAAGCCCTATTTTATTTTATTTTTTCTTAGGAGAAACTGGCAGAGTGTGGGCAGCTTGTGCCTAAAATACAGACTCAAAGAGGAGCAGGGTCTGGGGGAGGCACAGGGCCAGGGAGATTGTCCCTGGTTTGGGTGTTTCCAAGCAAGCTCTGGCACTTGCAGGCTTCGTACCTGCTGAGGGTCTGCCTGCAGCCACCAGAGATTTGTCACTCTCTGCCCCAGAGGTTGCTCGTTCCTGTCAAAGACGCGTGTGATCCAGGAGCATGGCGGACGGGCAGTGATCATCGCAGATAACGCCTACGATAACGACAGCTTCTACATCGAGATGATCCAGGACAGCACCAGGCGGACAGCTGACATCCCTGCACTCTTCCTGCTGGGCAGAGATGGGTAGGTGTCTTGGCCAAGAGACATCTGATCTTCCCAAGTCTGGAGCATCTCATGGGGAGGGCCAAGAGACAGGGAGGTCCCAGTGATCAGCATGTCCCACCTGGGCTTGCTGTGCTAGATTTTTAGTGGATTCAGTCGCAATTAATCTGCAGAGTTTCTCTTTGAGCCGGTTTGTGGTTTACGCTCATGTTTGGGCTCCACTCTCCCAACTCAGGCGGCTCACATCACCTCTTTATCCTTCCAGGTACATGATCAGACGCTCTCTGGAGCAGCACGGACTCCCCTGGGCCGTCATCTCCATTCCCGTCAACGTCACCAGCATCCCTACATACGAAATGATGCAGCCCCCCTGGACCTTCTGGTAGCAACAGGAGGCTGCGGCGGATCGAGGACTTCTTGGTGGATCCCAGGAGCTGACCCCAAGGATTCGAGGAAGGGGTCCCGATGCGCTACAGAGATCCCACCGGCCTCGCTGGATTCAGCAACAAGATCTTCCCACTGCCACCGGCGTGTGGCTGAAGGGCAAACACCAGCATCCGCAGTAGGAACCTTGAGCCTGGTACCGAGTGCCCTTTGTAGTGACTTTCTGGGGGGGAGGTGATGGCCCAGAGCAAGCCAGCACTTCCCCGACCAGCATCTTAATGATGTATAAGATGCCACCAGTCATTTGTGCTGCTGGTTGAGGGATGCAGGATTACGTGGATAAAGTTTGGCAGGGAATGGGAGGGAGAGTGAAATACAGGCTTGGTCTGTACTAGCAGGGCTTGCCCAACATCTGTATATTTTTGTCTGAGCTAATGAAGTCTAAACAAGTTTTAGAGAAAGGGGAGTTTCTTTTTTGCCATCAGCCAGGGGATGAAGGGACAAATCTCATCCCTTAATGATGTTTTTCCTAGTAAACTTCCCAGGGTGCCTCCTGCAGCTGGGGCAGGGCTCACATCAGACCCCTGTGCAGCACAGCTCAGCCCTACACTGAGGCAGAAGCAGCCTCAGGGGACAGCATCGCCTCTGGCATCTGTCCCCAAGGGTGGGCTGGTCGCAGACCCAGAGCCCAGACCTCGGTGGGTGTCTGTTCCCTCATCCCCAGACCTCCATGTGACAACCAGTCCCTGGATTGTAACCCTCCACCCTCCAGTTCACAAACAACACAGCCCCATTCCTCACCAGTCTCAGTTTATTATGAACACTGAAGGGGATGTGACCCTGAGACAGCTGGGGACAAGCAGCAAGGTGCAGGGCTGGCAGTGATGGTCGTGTCAGAGGTGCCCGTCTACAGCATCGCCCTTGGTTCTATGATCCAGCTGCCACAGGCCTGAAGGAAGCAGCAGCAGGGAAACGGCTCCCCAAAATCCAAGAACGGAGGAAAATACTCAGGGCACATCCCCAACCTGCTGCCTGTCTGTTGCTTGGAGCCGTCTTTTCCCTCCAGCCACGTGGTCTGCAGACAGGGAGACCACGCACACAGCGGCGTGGCCTCGCTGGTCGTTGGCAGCATGGGATGGATGACGACGCTCAGCTGCTGCTGACAGCTCCATGGGGTGGGTCTGTTAAGCCCGGTGTGAGGAAGCAGAGAGCACCACACTGCGTTCCTGGCACATCCTCCTCCTGAAGCAGCCCGCAGCTGGATGGCCCAGCAGGTCGGCTCGCTCTGTGCAAAACCCAAAACGTCTTTGGGTTTTGGACGGTGACTTTGCTTATGCAACACCATAGCCCATGTCAGCTCTGGGCTAGCAGCAGCCTGACCATTCCTCCTCCCCAAACAGCCCAGCAATCGCTGCATGGGGCTTTGCACGTGTAAGGATGGGGTCAAAGTGGGGGGCAGGTGCCTGCCAGGGTCGGCCCCACTCTTCCTACTGGACTTGTGCATCTGAGCCACCCGTAAGGTGTCTCTGTCCCACCTGCAAAATTGTTTTGCCCCTTGCTGCTCGCCGAGCCGAGGCATGGAATGGGAGTACATACAAGGACCCCAGCTCCTTAGTGTGTCGATAGTGCTAATATAGACGTTAAATAGTACCCCTCGTGCACAAACACATGTACACACGCACGCACACGCGTTCCCCTCGTCCCTGCGGGGTAGGAAAGGACATGCTCCTCCGCATCCACGGCCGGCATGGACACAGCAGAGCAGCCTCATAGGTGGCGACAAGGTGACTGTCATGATGTCCCCAGGGGCTGGCTGGGCACTGTGCTCCTCCAGCCTCCCCTGCAAGCACCAGCCAGCCCCTCCAGGGATCGGGACGCGGCAGGGGGCCAGCGGTTCACAGCCTGTCCTCACAGGGAGGACGGGGACGGCCTGACACGCACACACACACACACACCGCACAAGAAGGACAGGTAGGAGCAGGGCCTGCCTCCGGCTCTCCCTCTGCCCCGCTCCGCCAGACCTCCGCACCCGCCACCGGCACGTGGCCTCCCACCCGACCCCACAACACAACCCTGTTTCTAGTATTAAAGCCGCTGCCTCTCGGAGGAACTCCCCGGCCCTTCCCTCTCCTCTCGCCCGGCGCGAGGATCAAACGTCAGTCATCTCATCCTCCAGCTCAGCATCATCCGTCTCCCCTTCGCCTTCCTCCTCTTCGTCCGACGTCACGTCAGCATCGTCAGCTTGCGCTAGGCACTTGGGACACGAGCAGGTAAACAAGTAGTTCTCCCTGGAAGAAGGGAATGAAGAAGGAGAAAGAGCAATGCCATTGAGACAGGCACAACCCCAACACTGCTGCTGGGCAGGGGGTCAGGCACAGAGCAGCCAGGAAGGGGCTAAATACGTTAAACCCAGAGGAGCATGCGGGTTCGGTCATGCTGGGCTCAGGTGGGGTAGATAGTCTGAGTGGAGAGGGGGATTGCTCAGCCCTGCAGGGGGGATGGGACATGG